TCAAAGGCAATACTTTTTGAAACATCAAGAGACAAACATTTGCTATCAAAAGGAATAGGAAAATACAAACATCATGAGATGGGGATGTAATTGGAAGTGATTTAAAAATTATAAGGAAAAGTTGTACAAAGCAATGTCATCAGCTTAAAAATCTAGATGGAACAGAGGATTTCTGAATAAAAATTTTAACAATAATTGCCATGGAATAGGTAGTAGATCAAAGTCAGTAAACAGAAAAAAAAAAAAAAGAGAGAAAATAACCAAGGGTGTTTGGTTTTGTGAGTTAGTCTATGGTATTCAGAAATAGGGAGAACTGTGTTATGCTAACTATTGCAGAACATATAAAAATTGGAAAGAAAGATCTTCTACCTATCTTATTGTTGCATGCAGCTGAGTTAGATAGAAATATTATAGGTAGGCAGACAGGGCCAGGCTCTCGAAGGAGATACCACAGAAGACAAGATATCTTGCAACTCTGGGAGAGTTGGATGCTCCCACTGTGGGCCAGACCTAAAGACCAAAGATCAAACAAATGCCAACCTCCCTAAAAATTGGCATCCAGGATTGATCATCACCCTGAGGGATCCAGAAGAATCATTAATCTGACTACTACTGGATGGCTACCTAATAAAGTCCTGTTCTACATTCATGACCGCTTGCTACGTGACTCACTTCCCCATTTGGTCCTGGACTTAATCAATTTTACCTGAGCAATGGTGCTTGTAATCCCATTGGGTGACCATAGTTTTGTCCCACCCCACATCCATGTAAGTGAGTTCCCATGTTCTCCACTACCTTAGACCCGCCTCACTGCATGGTTTTACTCTATAAAAGTCCCTGGAAGAGACAGCTTCCTGGGGACTACCCACTCCGGGCCCTCCTCCTGTCCCTCTCTCAGACAGGAGCTTTCTTTCCCTCAGTAAATATATTCTGCTCATAACCTCCATGTTCCTAAAATTCATTCTTCCGTTTTAGAGAACATGTACTTGTCCAGGTCAGGTCAGGAGATCATTTTTCCCCTATGTCATTTGGAGGTTCCCAGTATCATTTGGAGGTCACCCACCTGAGATCAGTTTTTCTCCCTGTATCACTATGATGCTAGCATAAATCTCACATTAAACTCAGACAGGGGTTGCCCAAGGAAGTGATGAACCAGTATCAACGTAGGTTTCTTTTTAATAGGGAAACATTATTTCAAATAGGATTACATGTCTGTGCATGCTGTGTGTGTGTGTGTGTATGTGTATGTGTGTGTATGTGTTTGTGCATCTCCACAGGGAACAAATTTTTTTTTCTGTCCATTGTTTGCTGTGATTCTCCAAAACTATGGCCAGCTGACCTGGAACAATCACTGAGGATTCAGTCTGTGTGAGTGTAAATTTTGTGGTATTTGTTAGAGGGACCTCAAACCTAGCCAGAGAAATAAAAAAAAGTCTAGGTAGAAGAGAAAGATACAGGAGAGGACAAGTTTTATTTAGTTAGCTTTTGAAGATACAATTCTTCAAGTGATCACCTAGCAAGAACCTAAATGCCTAGATTTTAAACATATGGCAATCCTTTGAAATTTGCAATTATAGAAAATATGAAAAAATATGTAGGTAAATAAATAAAATAGAAAATGCAGATAAAAGAAAGAAATCAAAAGCTAGCAATCCCACTACTGGTGACACTTTGGTGTGTCATTCCAGGCTCCTCTGCTCATAATTGCATGCATGTGTATCCACATAGTTTTCAAAACTGTGTCAATCACCAAAAGCATTTTGTAGTCTGCTGCCCCCTACTACTAGTATGTCATGAGCATCTTTTCATTTCATTAAATATTCATGTTAGTTGTCACACCGTTCTACAGTGTTGTCTCTCTCATCACTTATATAACTGAATTCTTCTTGTTGGAAGTGTCAATTTTCCCCTCTCTTTTTTCAGAACAGATTTTTTCATGCAAAAATCTTAATACAAAATGATTTTTTGTGTGTTTTCAAGGAAAACAAAATAAGACTCAGAGCAAAAGAAATGTTTAAAGGGCCAGTGAGATAGCTCAGCAGACTAAGTGCTTGCTTAGGTAAATGCAGGTACTGGGTTCGATCCCTGCCACCACATGCCATGCTGGCCCTGCCCCGGTACACTCAACCAGCTACCAAGACCAGGCATGGTGGTACATGCCTGTAATCCCAGGGCTGGGGAGGCTGAAAATAGGGGGATCACTATGAGTCCAAGATGCATAGTGAGACTCTTCATTCAGTAATAATACTACTAATAATACTAATACTACTAACAAAGAAACATTTGAAATAAAGTTCTTTGGAAATGAAATTAGAAGCAGGTATATGATTTTTTAAAAGACCTTTTTAGAGGAAAATATTCTTCATACTATATGTAAAGACGTTTTTTATGAGCAGAATATATTTATTGAGGGAAAGATAGCTCCTGTCCGAGAGAGGGACAGGAGGGGGGCCCGAGCGGGTTGTTCCCCTATATGTAAAGACTCTTAAAGATGTGACAGAAACCCTAATTGGAATTGTGAAGTTTAAGGTAGGTCATCAACTTCATTGGCTTGGGATCCTTTCACAGCATTAATAAATCATGCTCCAGGTGTATCTCTGTGGGTTGTGGAGACATCTCCTTGGACATAGTGTGTGGTGCCTGGTCCCTTCTTTTTGGCCTTGTTTCCTTTTGTACTTCTGGCTGCCATGGGCTAAATAGCTTTGCTCCACATGTTGTTCTGCCGTGATGTTTCTGCCGGGGGGGGGGGGGGGGCTCAGCTCACCATGGACTGAATCCCTTGCAACCATGAGCCAATCAAACCTCTCATCCTAAAATTTGGTGTTGGTTGGCTGCTGGCTGGGAGTTTGACAGTGTTTTATGTTTTTCTTCCGTCAATTTAGACAGAGCATGTTCTAATTGTGGTGGAAAATGAGCAAGAGAATAAACACAAGTGCTTCTTCAGGCCTTTGCTTGGTTAGCATTTGTTAGCACATTGTTGGCCAAAGCAAATTACAGGACTGAATCTAGAGTCAGATTATGAGGGCACTGCCAAGGATGTGAACAAAGAAGGTGTATGGAGTTGGGGCCATTAGTGCCATCAGTCTACCTGGCATTTGTAAGTTGAATGGCATGGTGATAGAGGAAGCTGTAGGGACTGTTAGAGTATTACATGATACCAGCTAGCTGGATTTCATGCTCTTCAATGTTGCTTTATGTTCTCCTTTGCACTAACTTCACTCTCAGAGAGCACTTTCTCCTTGATAGTACTCAGAGCTCCATCTTGAAAATAAAGGATTTCAGCCGAAAAAGACCTTATCTTCCCCAGTTGTCCCAGCTAATGATGTGGAGTCCTTTGGGCCAATGTGAGTTACACATCCATCTTGAAACTAGCCACCATGTCTGGAGGATGGAATCTGATGATTGGCCAGGCTTGGGCTCACTCCTGGGACCATCTAGAATGGAGTGAGGGACTCAGCCTTACCCAACCCTTATAAATTGTGAGTAGGGGATTGGAAATAACTTCGAGGAAAATAGAGAGATAGCATTACTAGAAATTATGTCTAGAAGAAGAACAAGTGAATGTTAGATGAATATGAAAGATACTTCTGTTCGTTGCTTTGAATGTTTTTATCTCATTAGACTCTACCGACAAAAACTATGATTACTCTGTGTTAGTCACCAAACTCAGTGTTTTATCAACATCATTTTACTTATTCCTTAGAATGCTATGAGTTAGGAGGTAGTACTTGCATTTTGCTGGCTAAAGAGTTGAAGCTTATAATAGCTTCAAATAATAATTTGTGGAAGGTCACTCAATCCTGCTATAGGGGAGGTTTCAACTTAGTTTGTCCTTCTCGAGAATCTCTTCTGTTATTGTACAATTGAGGAATAAGAAAGCACACTAAAAAACTCCTTAAGAGGAAGAGCAGAAGGTCATAATACACCACATTAAGGCCATTTGGGTCTTAATATTGCAAAGATAATCATCATCCTGTAACCCCAGAAACATAAAATCTATACCAGTACAGTATACCTGACTCACCATGCCAAGAAGCTTCTACTACTTTTTTTTAGGAGGTCTAGAACCAAGAATTCCCACATGAAGTACTGTTTTGCAATTGGCTGGTGGTAAACCTAGAAGATTGTGTTGAGAAGAATTTTTAATCTAGTTGAAAAGTGAACTGCAATGAATTCAGGAGGGGAAAGTAATAACATGCTTGTCAAATATTTGATACTGTAGGAAGTCGCAACTTCTCAGTCATTGTGAAGCCACATGTATATGGGGCTCATGCCTCTAGGTGTGGATTATTTTGTTGCTAAGTTCTCCATGATAGAGGAATTCCATGGCCAAGTTTTTGGAGATTTCCATTCTAATTTAGCACAAATCAAAGTAGAGATCTTGGGCTGGTGAGATGGCTCAGTGGTCTAAAGCACCTACTTAGAACAAGCTTAGCAAATCACAGGGGACCACGGTTCAATCCCCCAGCACCACATGCCAGCCAGCCCCACCCCCTGGTGGGCTGAGCTGGCCACACACACACACACACACACACACACACACAAATAAATAGAATTAAAAAAAAACCAAAACATAAAGTAGAGATCTTTTTTCCTAAGGGAAAAACAATTTTATTTTGCTTTGAAAAGTTTATAGAGTGAATAACTACTACAAAGACAACAATATGCAGTGTATTAATTATTGTAACTGTCCTACTAGCCTGTTTTGAAACTGTCTCATTGTTATTTGTTTCTCAATTAAATGAATAAATTAATTAAATAAATTTAGAAAAAAACTTTATATTAGGGCCAGAGAGATAGCTCAGCAGCATAAGTGCCTGCCTGACAAGTACAGCACAATTTTGGTTTTACTTTTCAAGTAAACACTATAGATGTGACTATCATTCTCTATTGTTCATCTATCATGATCCCTGTTGTATTTTAACATTTAAAAATAATGCAGTTATAGTAAGACTTCTAAACTGTTTGTTTTTAATTATCCTTTTTCTTTCATTTTACAGATCACTGATTGGAGTCATTTTGTGGTACAGCTGAAAAGAATCCAGTAAGAAATCATTAGAAGGTGTAAATATTGGCTTAAACTCCAGCTGAGTCTAGTATTTCTTCTCTTTGGTAGCATCTCATCATAAAGGAAACATGTATGGCAGTGCAAGAACAATCACCAATCTGGAAGGTAGTCCTTCCAGGTCACCACGTTTGCCAAGATCTCCTCGTTTGGGCCACCGAAGAACGAGTAGTGGGGGAGGGGGAGGAGCAGGCAAGACTCTGTCCATGGAGAATATCCAGTCCCTTAATGCAGCCTATGCTACATCTGGACCCATGTACCTGAGTGATCATGAAGGTGTGGCTTCAACAACTTACCCAAAGGGCACCATGACTCTGGGCAGGGCTACCAATCGAGCTGTGTATGGAGGCCGTGTCACAGCCATGGGGAGTAGTCCTAATATTGCTTCTGCTGGACTTTCCCACACAGACGTCCTCTCCTACACAGACCAACATGGTCTGACTAGCTCATCCCACCACCATCACCACCAGGTCCCTTCCATGTTGAGGCAGGTAAGAGACAGCACAATGTTAGATCTTCAGGCCCAGCTCAAGGAACTCCAGAGAGAGAACGACCTCCTCCGGAAGGAACTGGACATCAAAGACAGCAAGCTGGGATCTTCTATGAATAGCATCAAGACTTTCTGGAGTCCTGAGCTTAAGAAAGAAAGAGTGTTGAGGAAAGAAGAGGCAGCCCGGATGTCGGTCCTTAAAGAGCAGATGAGGGTTTCTCATGAAGAAAATCAGGTATGTTATGACTCATCTCAGTATTTTTGAGTCTTGGCTTCTCACTGAGTAGTTAGTGCTTTGCAGATGATGCCAGAACCTGTGCAGAAGAAAGTTTGGCCTCATCAAGACGGTTACAGTTTCGTATGTGTTTGACTTGGATGCTACAAGAGAACATAGGATATATGAGGTTAAAGCTTGTGTTTTTTGTTTTCCAATAACTTTTTCACATAGTTGCAGGAGTGGGAGGTGATCACTGCCTGAGTCTGTACATGGTTAATTTTGTTCTCTTTTTCAGCAGCTGGAACAACAATTCAGATGCACCTCTCTCTGAATAGAAGAGGAAAATGCTCTCTGCAAGAGTAAACAATTTAACAGTAACACTGAGAGGGCCACATTTGACTACTTTATTATTTTGTTGTTATTGTTGCTGGAATGCCAGCAGCATTGTTTCTTTCTAGAAAGAGTGAAGTTTGTTCTTTAAGTAGCAAACTAAACAGTATGAAATCACATTGGTAGAATGGGCTTGATACCATGTTAGAGAAACACAAGAAATTTTGCCTTGGTGTTTTCTACCTTTATCCATAGGAATTTTTTTTTTTGCGGGGAACAGATCTTGTTATGTAGCCCAGGCTGGCCTCAAATGCACAACAACCCATCAGCCTCAGCCTCCTGAATGCTGGGGTTACATGCATGTGCCATCACACCTGCCTACCTTTATCTATTCAGTATTGTCTGCTATGTGCAAGATATCTTCTTACACTTTGATCCATCTTCCGTGTCATAGCAAGATTACTTTCTCAGAGGCTATCTGTGATGGTGTGTTTCCCTTCTTTAAAGTTGTCACTGAGTGTACATTGTCTTCGGGAAGAGGTCTACCTCCTTGACTGAGTCTGCAACACCTTCTACTGGAAAACCTGGCCTTATTCTTCCAGGCTTGTCTCATACCCTGTCCTTCACACTACATCCTTCTGCATCTGCGCTGCCTGCACTACTGATTAGAAATTCCTGTGGGCAACTGAGGTTTCCCACCTGGAGCATTTGCTCTTGATGTTCCCTACTGCTTGTAGTCTCCTCAGCACCTCTTCCTGCTGCTTCTCTTTCAGTCCTAGCCAGTCTCCATTTTCAACTTCTTATCTATCTCTTATGCTGCTATTTTCATACAAGGTTTGGAGTCTGATGCAAACTGATGAGGCTGCAAATCCCAGCCTCATCTCTCAATGGTGGTGAGAGGAAGGCAACGAGATGGAACTAGAGGCTCCTGTACTATTTGGCTTAAGAAGTCTCAGATGTCATTTAACTTCCTGTAGAAATTTGAGATTACACCAGCTTGGCTAACTGATGAGTCTGTGATAGTTGGTGTTGATGTTGGTCTACTGAGGCATGCTGCCTTTCTTAGTGTCATCTGCTGTCCTGCCTCTCTGTTTCCTTGGCCATCTATTCTTTGGAGCCAAGTGCCCATGGAAGCATTTGTGACCTGTGTATATGTTTGCCCTTTGTTCTCCTTCTGCGTGTAGAAAACAATCACCTTATGCCTTTGATTATTTGACAGAGCCATTGCTGGTTCTTGTATGTGGAAATGTGACTTTTTTTTAAGTTGGAAAGAAATCTTTGTTCGCCACTGTTCATCAAATTAGTGCTTTTCATTACTATTTCTTCTGCTTTCTAACTTCACTAGTTCAATAAACCTATGATGGTACTGTGCATTTCCTCTCTTCTGTATTGGTTTCTCTTACTTTTAATGTTTGTGAAATTGGTTGAAGCAATTTAGGAATGGTGCAAGTAGTGCTAAAAAATTTGAAAGCTGTTCTTTAAATTTTCAGCTCCAAAATGACTTGTATCTTATGCTTCTGTTTGTATTTTTGGGCACAGATCCCCAGTAATGCATGGCTGTGATGTAACTGGAAAATATGGCGAATGTTTACATTTTTAACAAATGTATTGCAATAAAAGATGCATTGCCGTATAGCCACCTTAATACACTCCCCAGCACTGAACACATTTATCCCATCATTGTTATAACTTTCTGAAGCAGCTTTAGAGGTCCTTTTTGTGAGTGTTTTTAGTTGTGCTATCATAGCTGCCTTAATGTCCAACATCAATTGCAAGCATTTGCCTTTCCTGGTCCTTTTGACTTTGGGGGAGAGCCAGAAGTTGCATAGTGCCAGATCTGGTAAATAAGATGGCGAGGACACACCATAATGTGTTTCACAAGCCTGTGTTTTTATTAGATGGTGTTCTGAAGAAACATTCCCTGTGTTTTTGATCACATCTCATAAAGACACTTTATTGTTATGATGTCCTTGTTGAATTTATTATGGACAGCTTATTCTTTATTTTTAATTTTTTAATTTTAATTTTTTTTTTTTTTTTTTTGGTGGCTGGCTCAGCCTGCCCTGGGGGTGGAGCTGGTGTGGCATGTTGTAATGGGGGTCGAACTGGAGATCGATCTGTGGTCCCTGTACTTTCCCTAAGCTTGCCTAAGCAGGCGCTTTAGACTACAGAGCTATCTCACTAGCCTGACAGCTTATTCTTTGGAGTGGCATGAACCTATTGTCAATAGCTCATGTTCTCAAGGTCATAGCAATAATTGATCTGGAGAGAGGTGTGGCTAAAACATTAAGCATGAAGGTCCACTGCCATATTAGAAAGCCTTCCTATTATTTTTGATGGCTTGTGGAAGTGGTGGTGAACCTATGGCACATATGCTGCAGCTGGCTGTTTGTTATTGAAAGGTCTAGAAGCTTTGTCATCACTGACATGTGGTGTGGCTAGATATGATTGTAAGAAAGTAAAGTAACCTGCTGTTCTGTAGAAGTAGAGTATGAACTGGACTGGCCAAATAGCTTAGCAGATTAAAGTGCCTGTAAACAGGCACAGGGGCTGGAGGTTGGACCCCCAGGCCTGCCTTGTCGGCTCCACCCCCAGGGCATGCTGAGAGGTCAATTGAGACTGGGTGTGGTGGTGTGTGCCTGTAATCCCAGCTCTTAAATCCCAGGCTGTAAACAGGTGGGTTACTATGAGTTGATCTAGTAGTGAGACGCTGAACACCATGTAGACCTTAAAAAAACAAACAAACAAACAAACAAACAAAACAAAACAAAAAAAAACTGTAGACCCTTCCCTAAAAGTAGAGTATGAGTTTGTCTTTTTTTTTTTTTTTTAAAGATACGTCATTTTTTTTTTTTTTTTTTTTTTTTTGCAGCTCTATTCTGTTTACCAGTATAATGGAGATTAGAGAAAGAAAGAGTAGACAGTGAATTTTGGGATGCTCATAAGGAGCTGGGTGTGGTATCATGTTCTTGTAGTTCTAGTTATTTGGGAGGCTGAGAAAGAAGGATTACTTAAACTCATAAGTTCCAGACTAGCCTAAGTAGCATAGCAAATCTCCATCTCAGCAACCAACCAAACACACAGAAGTTCACAAGGATTTTGTATTATAGTTTGTCCATAGAAGTAACTTTTCATATTCCCAGATATTTTCGTACTGCTATTAACTTGATATTTTTAATGGATTTTCTCCCAAATTAGGTATTTCTAAGGCAATTTTTAGAGATTTTCCTAGGCTGTGCATGGATAGCCAGAGCTCTGCAGAAATATAAATAGCATCACATACTAGGAGACTGTACTAGATCTAATATTTACCCATCTTGTACAGAAATGGGACAAGGTCATTGGGAAATGTAACCGAAGAAGTGTAAGTAAACCTGTCTGGGGAATGTTACAGCTTTTAAGCAGTGGTTATGTGATAATTTCTATTTCTGGCTTAACACAATAGTAAAGAATCTCCTTTAAATCAATATTAAGATAAGTTTTGATCCAGTTTCAACATATAATTCACTAATATTTATTTTGAGTTGGAAACTTAAAAAGATTGAGAGGAATCACATTCCTGTGTTTGTTAATTATCATTTCTTTTATTTGTGTAGCTGCAGGGCCACTTTAACATGGGTCATTCAGCTCTGTTCTCAAATACTCATTTTATGTGAGTGTCCAGACCTGACGAGTTGCACCAACTGCAGGCAAGTGATAGAGTTTGTTTTATCCAAGGGCTGAGAGTGCTGCTCTGTTGTAGAGCACTTGCCTAGTATGTGGGAAGCCCTGGGCATAATACCCAGCACTGCCAAGAAAAAATACACTTATCCTACTGAGGAGGCGGTGAGGCAACCGCATCAGTGAAGTGCAATTGCAGTCACTTTGTGGAATTAAGGGCTGACTCTAGGAGTGCTGGGTTTTATTAGATCTGTAGGTGAGACTTGGGTGTTGTTACAGTTCAGCTATGGTTTGCCCACAAGGGTTCATGTGCTGTAAGCTTGTTCCCCAGTATAACTGTATTGCGTGGTGATGGGACTTTATGAGATAACTAGGTCATAAGTTCTACCCTTATGAATGGGTTTATGTCTTTCTTAAGAACTGGGTTCTCTTGAGCCTGATTAGTTGTTGTGGAGATGAGACGGACCTGGAGGAACTGGATTAATTATTGTGACAGCAAAGTTTTATAAAGCCAGGTTGCCTCTGGTATTTAGTCTTTTTTATGTGTGTCCACTTCTTACTCTTGTGCATGCTCTTGCCATGTGCTGTCATCTGCGGTGGAGCCCTCACCAGAAGCCACTGCCATGCTCTTGGGTCTTTGAACTGTGAGCCAAATAAACCTATTTTCTTTATAACATACTCAGCCTCCAGTATTCTGTTACAGCAATGGGAACTGGGCTAATGTTGATGTACTCACTACTTAGATAAACTTGTTTTATCCCAGTACCTTCTTTTGGGATTCTTTCTTTCTACCACTACAAAGACACTTCCCATATGTGTCACTTTCTAGGAAGTGCCAAACCTAGAAATTCATACTACATTTGTTCTGGATTAAAAACCCAACCCCCCTAAGAAAGGATATATCGGATTTCTAACTCCTACTATCTCAGAATATAAACTCATTTGAAATTAAGGTCTTCTTAGAGGTAATCAAGTAAAAATGAAATCTTAAGCATGAGTCCTATTTCAATTTGACTAATATCTTTATA